CCGCACCACAAGCACGCAAGACGTGTCCGAGCTGCTGCCGAGCCTGCGCGCGCCGAGCCGCGCCCCTCAGGCGGCGCTGCCCGTGCCGAGATCACGCGAGGTCACCCGAGGTCACCCGAGGTCGCACGAGATCACGCGAGATCTTTCGAGGTCGCCGAGGCCACCCCGAAGATCACCCCGAGATCACACCGAGATCACCCCGAGATCACCCCGAGATCACCCCGAGCTGCGCCCCTCAGGCACTTCCCGTGCACATCCCGGGCCGCGCGGGCGCTGTCGCGGCGGGGGAGAAGGCGGCGGCGGAGGCAGCGGCGGCGGAGGCGGAGGAGGCGGCAGCGGCGGAGGAGGCAGCAGCGGAGGCGGCGGCGGCGGCGGCGGCGGCGGCGGGAGCAGCGGCGGAGGCGGCGGAGGCGGCGGAGGCGGCGGTGGAGGCGGCGGTGGAGGCGGAGGAGGCGGAGGAGGTGGCGGCCGCGCTCCGAGAGAGCCTCGAGGCGCGTCGCGCGCAGCCACGCAGCGTGCAGCACGCAGCCGTGCAGCACGCAGCAGCGCAGCATGCAGCAGGGCACCACGCATCCGTGCAGCACGGAGCAGTGCAGATCGCAGCCACACCGAGCAGGCCCATCAGCGGGCGCTGCGGCACCGCGGGCGGCGGCGGCGGAGGCGGCGGTGATGGGGAGGAGCTGGACCTCTTCAAGGGGTTCGACCTCTCGAAGGCGCCGAGATCGCCCGAGATCGTCCGAGGTCACCCGAGATCGTCCGAGATCGTCCGAGATCACCCGAGATCGCCCGAGATCGCCCGAGATCGCCCGAGGTCGCCCGAGGTCGCCCGAGATCGTCCGAGATCGCCCGAGGTCGCCGGATTTGGACGTGGACACTGCTCGAGGAGAGCCCGCCGTCTCGTCTGCAGGCGTCGCTCTCGCCCTGCTCGACCCTCGACGACCTCCAGGGCTCCCTCTTCGCTGCGCACCGCGCCCCTGGCCGCTAAGCTCTGGGCCTCTGGCACGCCGGCTGCCCAACTCCTTTTGTACACTTGCCCCACACTTGGCCACTTGTCCCGCCCCTCCCCACGACCTCGCGCATGCCCTTGCCACACTTCTCCACCTCCCCCCTGCCACACTTCCTTTCCGTACGTCGTGCGCCCATGTACCCCGCACACATCCCCGCGCCCTTCCGTCGTCCGGTGAGCTGCGGTGTGCGGTGTGAACTGTGAACGCTCGCATCGTTTTGCATGGCCAATGAGCAATGTGGCGTGTCTGTGTGTTATCCAGGTGCTCTGTCGCCGCGCGTGTTCTACACCTTAGCAAGACGATAAAGCGCGATACGCGTGCGGTACGTACAGAATCAGAAACACAGTAAAGCCGAACTCTCCACTGACAACGTACTCTCTTACGGGTGACGGCGGGACATGTTCGCGTTTTTACCAAGCTCGACGAGCTGCCGCTGCCACTCAACCACTGGAGCCGCCGCAGAGGCCTCCAAGTACACGTCGCGCGCGTGGTTGGCGAGGCTGACGGCGCCCAGACCGGAGCCGACGAGCAGGAGCGCCCAGCTCCCCGCCCTCTCCCGCAGGGCGGCGGCGCGGCCGAGCCGCAAGTCGATCGCGGCGGGGAGGCCGAAGGAGAGGGCCGTGGAGGCGGCCGCCCCCGTGAAGCCAAACACGACCTCGACCCTCTCGACCACCAGTGCGAGCAGCAGACTCGAGCCGACGATCGCCAGCGTGAGCGGGATGCGGCGGCTGGCGCGCCTCTCTCGGAAGAGCAGCTGGTCGAGGCTGCAGCGGGCCGCGAAGTGGAGGCAGGGGTAGGTCAGGCAGATGGAGGTGGCAAAGGCCAGCCGCACCGCGCGGATCGCGGGCGAGGGCAGCGCGGCGAGGTTGAGGAGCACGTTGCCCCGCACGTCCTCTCCAAAGTGGCAATACGCCGCGACACCGGTCAGCACGTACAGCGAGCCAGCGGCGGCAAAGGCGGCGCCTAGTCACGGCGGCTCCCGCTGTGAAGAGCGGTGGCGCACAGCTAAAGCGAAAGGGCGGCGGCCAAAGGGCTGCGCCGGTGAGGCGGCGCATGCGGGAGGGGGTTGGCTGGTCGGTCTCGCCGTAGATCGGGAAGAGACTCGTCTGGCACATGAAGGCGAACGCGCAGATCGGGACGGCGCGCACACACGTACCCGGCGACGCTGCTCTGGAAGGCGGAGGGCGGCTGCTGCGGCGGAGGGCCTTCCGCCCACAGGCAGAGGAGGGCGAGGACAAAGATCGTGTAGATGGCGATGGCGGCGCCGGAGGCGAAGCGCAGCGAAGAGATGTCTCGCAGTGAGGCGAGTGGGAAGATGACAAGCCCTACGGCGAGGAGCAGCAGCGGCGGGCGGCCGATCGACAGGCCGGCGCTGGCGGCGAGAGGGTGGAGGACATCGCCAACCTAGTGTGACTTCACAAGAGTAAGAGCAACCACTCTTACAGTAAGCAAAGAGGTGGAGGATCGCCCGCCACGATGACGTACGAGACGCAGGAGCCAAAGAGTTGACAAAGGCGCAGCCGTGGTACGCGAGCCAGCCTGGCCGCCCGAGCCCCACGCGAGCGAGGTCTTCCCGGTCTTCCCTACGGGGGGGTTGCGAAAAAGAAAAAACTGATACTTTCTTCTTTTCTGTGGTGTACCTGTGTTAGTGCCAGTGCGCGCCAGTCCCGTGCCCAGTGTTGTGCGAGGGAGTTTTGTTGTAAGATTCTTCTTTTCTCCAATCCGTGTTGGTGTCCAGTCCGAGCCTGGCTGTTCTTCACCTTCCTACCTAACCTAACCTCTTTCTGTGCACATGTTCCTTGCACATGCAAACGACTGCATCCCCCCCCCCCCCGCCCCCTCCCCCCAAACAAATGCTTCGCGCTTGTTTTTTACATCACACAGCTCCACCCGAGGCAGTGACGTCGACTCGACTCTCCTCGCCGTCAGGGCGCTCTAGCACACCCGGTAGATTGGGCTGCAGCTCAAAGGTTCCGTTCCCCAGCCCCAGCAGTAGCTGGTTCCGTTGCCCCAAAAATTGCCGGTCGTCCCAATTGCCAATGACGATGTCAAGCTTTTCGTCGCCGTTCACGTCGCCGAGCGCGATAGATCTAGTGTTCATGCTCCCGCCAGGTAGATCCGATGCCACGTAGCCACCACCTGGTTGATGCAGCAGCAACTGATTACTTCCTCCTGCATTGCCGAGGACGATGTCTATGTAGCCATCACCGTCTACATCGCCAATCGCGACTGAGTATGTGTACGTCTCTGCGCCGCCGGGCAGATCAGTAGGCTCAAACCCGCCGCCCTGCGTGGCCAGAAGGAGCTGGTTCGCTGTGCCATAATTGCCCTCAATCACGTCAACAAGGTCGTCGCCATTCACGTCACCCAGCGCCAACGCATAAGTGTCGCTGCTTTTACCTGGTAGGTCAGATACATCATCCGCAAATTCTCCAAAAGCCTTGCTCAGCACAATGCCACGGTTGCTAACCAGGTCAAGTTTGCCGTCGCGATTCACGTCGCCAAGCGCCACGGAGCCGGCTAACACACCCTCCTCGGGTGAGACTTCGCTGTAGCCTGGTAAGTCGACCGCTTGGCCGTGGTTGGGGCGGGCGGCGCTGCCGCGCAGCACTCGTCGCCGTCGTAGCCTGCTCCATTCTTGAAGCACGAGCGCTGGCAGAACTTCTGCTTGGCCCAGTTGGCGTTGTGCTTGCAGAACCTTGTGGACGCATCGCGATACTGGTCGCATTGCAAGTCCTTCGCCACCATGTATGCGTTTGGCTGATCCGTGCACTCTGTGCACTTGGCCGTGGTTGGGGCGGGCGGCGCTGCCGCGCAGCACTCGTCGCCGTCGTAGCCTGCTCCATTCTCAAAGCACGAGCGCTGGCAGAACTTCTGCTTGGCCCAGTTGGCGTTGTGCTTGCAGAACTTCGTGTATGCAGAGGGATACTGGTCGCATTGCAAGTCGTTCGCCACCATGTACGCGTTTGGCTCATCCGTGCAATCGGTGCACTTGGCCGTGGTTGGGGCGGGCGGCGCTGCCGCGCAGCACTCGTCGCCGTCGTAGCCTGCTCCATTCTCAAAGCACGAGCGCTGGCAGAACTTCTGCTTCGCCCAGTTGGCGTTGTGCTTGCAGAGCTTCGTGTACGCAAAGGGATAGTGGTCGCATTTCAAGTCGTTCCGGACCATGTAACCATTGCGTTCGTCAGTGCACCCTCCTGTGCAGGTCTGTGCGGCAATTCCGATCTCGAGGATCGCTCCAAGCCAGATGATGATCATGTCGACAGAAGCCCACCGTTGCAGGCGCCCGGCACGCCGCGAGGCCGGGCGTCACGCGAGCTCGTGAGTTTTCTCCCGACAAGTACCAGGGTACCGCGTACGGTAAGGTAAGGTAAGGTAAACTTCTCCACACACACGAGGTGGTGGGGCAAGGGGGGGCAACCCTCGCGTCTCCACGTCTGACGACAGGAGCCCCACGGCATTCAAAGTGCAAGGCCCAGTGCGCGTGGGTGAGCGCTGTGTGTGTGTGCGTGTGCGTGTGCGTGTGTGTGTGTGTGTGTGTGTGTGTGTGTGTGTGTGTGTGTGTGTGTGTGTGTGTGTGTGTGTGTGTGTGTGTGTGTGTGTGTGTGTGTGTGTGTGTGTGTGTGTGTGTGTGTGTGTGTGTGTGTGTGTGTGTGTGTGTGTGTGTGTGTGTGTGTGTGTGTGTGTGTGTGTGTCTACCGCGTACGGTCGGACTGAAAAGAAAATTTCTTTTTTCATCCGTGTGTTTGCCGTCACCGCTCCGCGCTCGTCCTGCGTCCACCCTTACTTACTAATGACTGTTCTGCAAGAACTCTGAGAAACGTACACGCCCCTGCTCTCAACGTCCGGCCGCGTTCGCCCGCTCCTCCGCCGCAGTGGGCCGCAACGACGCCCACGCGCGCTCGGCCGACGGCCGAAAGGATCCCGCCGTCACGCCCGGCCTGTGCCCGGTCGAGTCGACCAGGTGCTCGTCCATCCACTCGAACGCCTCCTCGGCCCCGCCCCGCGCCCCGCCGCCCCGCGCCCCACCGCCCCCGCCTTTCGCGAGCGCGGCGTATCGCTCCAGCAGCGGGCTGACGACCTCTGCGGGCTGGTCGGTGAGCTCGACGCGCCTGCTCGCGGCCGGAGGGTGTGAAGAGAGGCGGCGCCGTCCCTTCCCCACGCGGGTCGGCGAGCCCGACGCGCATGTTCCGCACGCCCGCCTCGCGCAGCTGCGCCAGGTACGGCGCTGCGCTCTGCGGCTGCGAGTTGAAGACGGTGTTGCGGCAGCCCGAGTCGGCAAGCACCTGATCACGCCGCACCGCGTGTGGAGAGACGCCGTTCACAGCCTCGCGGCAGCCCGAGCCGCCGGAGAGGGCGCACGTGGTGGCGCTGCTGCCGCCCGTCCACGAGGTGGAGCGAGTGGCGCGTGCAAGGGTGGCCGCAGTCCTTGTACGAGTTGCCGGTGGAGAGGGTGCGCGCAAACACGCAATGCTCCGTGTGGAAGATGGGCACGTGCGCGTGGATTATCACCTCGACGCGAGATGAGGCGAGATGAGGCGAGATGAGCCGAGATGAGCCGAGATGGGGCGGAGAGAGCCGAGATGGGCCGAGATGCGCGTGACGATCACCTCGATGCGAGAGCGCAGCGACGGCGGCAGCGCCGAGACGAGGGCGCACAGCTGGTCCGCGTCGAGGTCGAAGGTCGGCGCCAAGCGCGCGACGCCCAGCTCGAGGTACGCCTGGGACCGTTCCCCAGCTCACAGAGTGACAGTGAGCGTAGCAGTCCTCTAGCTCCGGCGGGGGGTTAGGCTCCGGGCCTCCGCCCCACTGTGTGTCTGTGATTCGGACTGCCTCACTGAGGCCTGGGACCGTTCCGAGAAGGTTCGGGGACGGCTCCTCGGCCCGCCGACAGTGGGAGATGTCGAGGGGCGCGCCTGCGCCGCCGCCGCGTTTGCGACGTTGAGCGAAAAGTCGCCTGTGTTGTGCGTGGAGGGAGGGTGGAGGGGTGGGGTTTGGGATGGTGGGTGGGAGAGCGGGGCTGCGGTGGAGGCGAGAGGGGGGAGGGAAGGCGGCGAAAGTGTCGCCGTGGATCCGAGGAAGCGTCGCGCCCTCCTCCTCCGCCAGCTCCGCCAGCCTCGACAGCAGCCCCGCGCCACGCACCAGGATCGCGTCGGCGCCGTCGAGCTGCAGCAGCACGCGCCAGAGGGCCTCTTCGGCCGGCTTGATGATCCTACGCAAGCGAGATTAGCCGAGATCTGCCGAGATTGGCCGAGATGAGAGCGCGGCTTGATGACCCTACGCAGCGGTGAAGCAACCGCTGAGGCGGCGCAGCGGTGGCGGTTGCGGCAGCGGTGGCGTGGCGGTGGGTGAGGTGCCCCCGGGCTACTGCAGTAGCCGGCGGTGGCGCGCAGTGGTGTGGTGTGCTACAAGGTAGCGCGCCTCGGCGCCGCAACCACCGTCGCCTTTGGCCGCGCGGCCGCGAGCCCCTCGCGAATGCCGTCGAGCTCGAGAAAATCGATGACGATCTCATCGACAGCAGCGCACGCGGCGGCGGCAGCCACCTGCTCCCGCGTGCGACAGAGCACCGACAAATGGGGCCTAGTGCTGCGGCCGCCGCCGTCGCCGTCGCCGTCGCCGTCGCCGTCGCCGTCGCCGTCGCGCAACGCAGCCTCCCCCGCCGCCGCGCGCCTCCGCGCCTCCTCTCTCTCGCGCGCCGCGCGCCGCGCCGGCGACAGCTTGCGAGCGAGCGCGCGCTGCGCGGACCGCGCCTCGACGAGGCGCTCCACTGCGTTGCGACGCGCCTCCTTGACCGCTGAGAGTGGGAGCCAAGCGCCGCCGCTGGCGACGGCGCCGCCGACGTCCACATGCCTCACCACCAACGGCGTGCCTCCAAGCTGCCCCACCGCCTTGCGCAGGCTCTGCTCCGACAGCGGCGTCCCGGTCGCACGCTGCAAGACGGCCTCCGTCACGCACGACGCTGAGCGGCCTCGCCCGTCGGTCACCGTGACGTTGAGCGGCTCGCCGATCTCGCCGTCCAGCGCGACGTCGACGAGGGCGCGCCCGGCGGTGGGGTCGGAAAGCAGCCCTTTGAGCTGGCGCTGCAGCGCCCCGTGCTGCGTGCGCCACACCAGGTCGCCAACCCGGACGCCGGCCAGCTTGGATGCGTCCTCCAACTCGAGCGTCACAGCCTCGCCGCCCTCCGCGGCGGACGCATCCTCGCTCTTCACGCCCCAGAGCCTCCCGCCCGCCTCGGAGCTGGCTGCGCCGAAGGCGACGCCGTCGCCCGCGCTGAGGAGAGGCGCGGAGTGTGAGGAGAGTCACAAGCGTCGCCCGCGCTGAGGAGAGGCGCGGAGAGGTGGTGCGAGAGGCAGGGAGGGGCGGCGTGGAGTGGTGGTGCGAGAGGCAGGGGGGGTGGGGGGGGGGGCAGCGGCTAAGGAAAAAGGTCCCGAGGGCTAGCAGA